TACATACATGCACACACAATGTGGTTGAACCTTAAAAATATATTAGTGTTTTAAAATATGACTGATTTAAGAAATTACTCTGTAGGCATGGTGGTACATGCCTATAGTAACACTCTGGGAACTTGAGGCAGGAAGGCCAGCCTGGCTAAATCAATTTAGCAAGACCCTTTCTCAAAATAAAGACTGGAGGTGTATTTCAGTGGTAGAGCACTTGCTTAGCATGGCTAAGGCCCTGGGTTCAGCCTCCAGTATTGTAAAACTTTTATTTTTAAATATTGTTAAAAATAAACTGTTTCCAGGTTTTTGTTACCTGTTGGGATGAAACTAGAAAGGTTCTCAGTTGGGCTCTGACATGAAGGTTTGTCTTACTGCAGGACCACGTTCTTTTGTGTGAAGGAGAAGACCCAAAATCAGACCTTAAAGGTGAGCAAACACTCCCCTTCTCCATGGCTTTGCTCCAGAAGAGTTGTTGGTGTGCCTCAAAGAATGGAAGAGAGTATTTATTAGCACCTTCCAAGCCTAATGACCAGAACCAGCCTGGGTACATGCTAAGAGGATTTTATGTTTGAGGGGGAGATGGGTACAGCTGTTGTAAAATCTTAGGTTTTCTTTTCTAGTCATTGCTAATCAGCTTAGATCTAAGACCAAGATATTATCTTAACAGAAGCCTATCTCTGCCCTGAAGGGCAGGAATCCAAAACCCCTAAGAAACTCCTTGCCAAGAGGTAGAGCAGGCTGAACAAAGACCCAGAGAGAAGAGTACAAAGAGAAGAGGAGGCAAGAAGCCTGTTTATGGGGAGGGCCCTAGCCATTGTCTTTCTCAGGAGCAAGTGGTTGGGCCTCAGTCTGGAGCTCAGACCTGGAGTTGCCCCATGGTTCTCTAAGCTGAGGTTCAGATCTTTCCAGTGTAGGCACTGATCTCTGCCTTTGGGACACCATTTCTTTTAGCTGGTTAAAGATATACCTGGAAATGGGTTTGTTTTTCCCACTTGCCTAAAAAAATCTAGATTAATGGTGTCTAGAAACTTGCTAAATCCCCAGATAAGGTGTAGTCTCCTTTCTACAACCAGAAAATTTTGCTTTTTATACTTCAAATAGGAAAAATGGGAATGAAGTATTAAAAATGATAGAAATAACTAACTTACTTAGAAGAAATCAAGGCTCTTTAGCACCTTTTGGTACTGAGCATTGAACCCACCCTTACACTGGGCCACATCCCCAGCCCTTTGTTTTTTGTTTTTTAAATTTTGAAATGGGGCCTCACTAAATTAACATATTGTTCCAGCTGGGCTCGAACTTAGGATCCTCCTGCCTCAATCTCCCAGAGTACTAGGATTATGGAAGTGTGCTACCATGCTTGTCTTCAAGCAGTGTTTGTAGTAGTCAGCCCTAACTGCCCAATTCCAGAACAGTATCTGCACACTAAGTTACCTTGGCGCAGAAGGGAGAACCTGGCCTTGTTTTCTCTCTGTTCCTTGTCACCTTCTGAATTTCTCACTAGCTCCTCTGTGACCCAGATTTCTATTAGCACAGCTTGCCTACAAGGACAGTGGCTGCCTCTAATGGACATTGTGCTGACTTTGTGTCCCACAGTTGCAACAAGCACATCACAACAAGAAGAGCTGGGGACAAAGGGCAGCTTGAGAGAAGTGGACCACACCAAGAAGCCGGAGCCTATGCCTACAGTCGACAACCATGAGCCCAGGCTGGGGCCACGGCCTCGTTCTCATAACAAGGTCCTGAACCCACCTGGAGGCAAATCCAGCATTTCCTTCTACTGAGAGGCTCCTTATAGCCAGACCAGAAACTTGAGATAGGGTATCAGATGTTAACATCTTCTTTAACCCAAAAGAATGGGGTGGGAGGGTTTTTGTGTGTATGAGGCTGGCTGCTCAGTGCTTTCCTGTGCTCCTGAGAGGTGCACTGAGATCCATGCCTTCCTGACTGTTGAGAAACAGTGGGACTCCCTTGGGGTTTACCCATTTGTTGTTGCTGATGGAGCAGAACTCTAGGATGTGTGAGGGCGAGAAGATGGTGCAGGGCAACGGGTGGCTTGTCAGATTTTCCCTGTTCTTGCATCAGTGTTCTGCGGACTGGGCATCTTAAAAGCTTTTGAAAGAAAACCCTGACAGCCTGTCTTATTTCTATGGGACAGAGGAAGTAAGCATGAGCAGAAACACTAAGAAGGCAGTGGGAGTCTGTGCACGCCCTTTAGATCCTAATGCTAGTTACCTGTCACCAGTATGGTTCTCACTTCTGAGATTACTGTTGAACCCCAATGTCTCCTTTTCATTTTATACCCATTGTATTGTCCTGCAGTCTTGGTTGCTGTTCCTCAGCAGCAAACAAAACTGAGCAATTGTCTTTAGTCTGGTTCTTTACAGAAGGTATTTGTGCCCTGATCCTCTGAGTTTCCTGGTTCTTACATCTAATTCCCTGGCCAGCTGTCATGCAGCTGCTTGCCTTTCTCTACAGGGACTTACTGTGGTCCTTGACATGCCAGGTTTGCTTGTGTTCCGTTTTTTTCCTCTCATCAGCCTTAAGACTAGGCCTTTTTCCTCATTGATGATGTAGAGTTTCCTTGCCAAGCCACAGCTCTTCCTACATTTGAGGTCTGCTGGCCTCTACAGGGCTTAAAATCTGCCTTGTTACATCTGAACACTGGGCGCTTATTCGAACTTTTCCTGTGTCTCACTTTGTTCCTGTGTTTGGTTGGAGGAAGACATGCCTGAGAATCTTGCGTTCTTAAGTTGATTTTCTTTCTCTTTTTTTTTTTTGTCTTTTTGAGACAAGGTTTCACTATGCAGTTCAGGATGGCCTTGAGCTCACTTTGTAGCCCAGGCTGGTCTTGAACTTGCAGCATCCTCCTGCCTCGGCCTCCCAAGTGCTGGGATTACAGGCATGTGCCACCATGCCTGGCTCTTGATTTCTTCAATAATATCAAAAAGAGCTGTTTTTTATAAATCAGCATCACATAAATGCCTATAGGCTGCATTTCTGACACCTTCCAGAAAAAAAGTCCCTTGCTTAGGCACACCAAAGAGGAAGAGCTGCTTGAGCCACCTTTAAAAAGCTTTGCAGAATCTCCAGGCCATATTCATAAACATTGCTCCTTTACCAGGATAGTTTGGCGGTAGAGTCAAAACTGTCATTCACTTGTGAAGATACAGAGCTGGCAGAAGTCATGTTGCTTCATTGTCAGGCAGAGGTAACCCTGGAAGGCCTGCATCCTCAGTTCCCTGCTCTAAGATGATAGGAGAGGATCAGATGGTGTAGCTACTGCTCTGAGTGCCTATAAAGTTCACACCAGGTGTTAGAAACCTCATCATTATTAAACTTTGGAAAAGCCACAGCTCTGTACAGTCACACATTGGCCTAGCTGTTTTTAAGTGCCTGCAGTAGCTATATGAAGCTCTACTTCCTGTTCCTGGCACATTGAGGGGTCTCTGTATATGGCTATGTCAACCAAAGAGTTTCCCCCTTCAGTTGCCCTGCAGACTTTAGAACCAAGAGACGCGAATTCCATGTGACATCATAAGAACTCAAATGGGTTGTGGTTCAAAGTCATTTATGAGAACATGATTTGGATTCAGGCATTAGTGCTTTGCCATTTAAAAAAAAGTCCTAAATGATGGTTAGCTTTTTAAGCACACACACACTAACTTGTTTAACTTATAAAGAAGTCTAGTGGTAGAAATGTACATCATCTGTGACTGTATTTTCCTAACAAAAAAATGATCTGTGAATTTCAAATTTGATTACCAAGAAGAAATGTGCCATTAGTGTACTGGCCCCTGTTATCAGTCCATTGCAAGGAAGGCTCCTGTTTCTACCCACTGTCAAGGATTTCTGGGTAGAAATGGGAAAATGCAACTTAAAGCAGTGGCCTCTGGGCAGCAGGGCATTCTGCCTTGCTCCTCTGTCCACCTTGCCTTATCCTCCTCTAAGCTTAGGGCCTGGGCAGTACACTCGGTGCCAGGCGCAAAGGTGGCCCTGCTCAGGTGAGCCCAGCGGTATGTTGTCACCTGGATTAGGAAGATGCTCTCTGCATCAAAGATGTATCCTGTTCTCAGCTTCCAAGCTGCACGGAGAAATTACTAATCTCTGTATTTTTATTAAGCCTTAAAACCTTTAAGTGCATTTGGTGCCAACGTTTTTTCTAGAGCTGTATCAAAGCAAGAAATCTGTCCTCACATCACAATGTAATTTTGATAGGAACCTTTTTTATTTTTACAAGGCAGAATTGGGTATAACAGTTGAATTAAATTTAGTAACCATGAATGAACTCAGTACTTGTCTGTTTTGTGTGCATATGCTGTCCTCGGTGGTTGATTTTACAAACAGAATGCCTGGACTCTGCAACTTCCCTTACAGCTTTTCATTGGTGAAGGACCCCCTTGTCCTGATCCTGCCTTCCCATTTATCTAGTAGATGCAAATCAATTTTCTCAAAGCTTTGGGCAGAATGAGAAGGAGTATGCAAAAAATTATTAATAACTTAATATTCTGTAAGTTAAATGTAATAGTTCTTTTTTCTCACACTACTTGTCCTAAAGAACTTTAGGTCTTTAACCATTTATCAGTCCAGTTATTTAACTATAGGGTGACTAAAAAATGCATATTCTTTGTTAATTTTTATAAGAATATAACAGCAAATATAAAAACAATTTTATCCAGTTTATTCACTGCAAGAATTGACTGGTTGAAATGACAAGAGAAAGCACAGGTTGGATGCCTTTCCTCTATGCACTGGCTATTTTCATATGTCCTAAAATCAGACTTAATCCTTATAAGCACTATGTAGGTTCAAGGGAGATGTAACTCCAGTTGCCTGCCTGAAGAGCCTCCCTGTAGGAGGATCCACATTGTCTTGCCTATTGCATTGGGGCTTCAGTGGAAACCAAGACTTGACAAAGAAAGCCAACATGGGTTACTTGAAACACCATCTTTGTTCTTTGCCATATGATTAAACGTGTAGAGTAAGTTCCAAGACTTGGGTTAGGCATTGAAGATATATTACCTGTTAGTAGCAGCTGCTCAAGCCCTGTGTAAACACTGAAGTCTTACATAGGGGCCCAAGTATTGTTCTGTTGTATTTGTGATATACCTTAGGGAGTGAGACCTTGCAAGCATGCACATACTTCCAGATGTCTGGTTCATTCTTTCTGAACTTTTATTTCCTTGATCCTTGGCATTCTTGGAGAATATTAGTGAAATGTTCCGTTTTACATGTGACCACAAAGTGCTATCTGAAATTTAACTTGGGAAGAAATGAGAGGCACCAGCCCCGTGACTTAAGCAGGCATTAGGGCACACATTTAGGAATTAAAGTAGAACATTTGAAATATATGTGCCAGTTTTACATTTAAGGTCTTCTAGTGAAAAAGTATTCCAAACCTGAAAGCTTCGCTTAGCTATGAGAAGTAAACCAGTTATGCCATTCAATAAGCACCAGTAATTATCCAGCATTGGCATGTTTATAGTTTTAAAAAGTTCATGCCTGAGTCTGGTGGCACTCCCTGTGGTAGGCTGCCCTGTTGTATGCCACTGAGGAGTTTTCAAGGGTTGGATTTCTGGAAACGGCCTAAAGCAGAAACAAAACATCTTTGGAAATACAAGCTTACCGTAACTGACTAGGAATTATACTCTTGCTTTTGTCCTGCTTCATAATTTTGACAGTGTAAAACCAATTGTTGGTAACATTGATTCCCAATACCATTTTATAGAGATAGTCCATGTCCCGTCCCACGTTAAGCCACTTTCCCAATAGGTTGGTAACATGAAGGTACCTTGCTTTGCAGGCTCAGAAATGACTGGGAGGATTAAGTCTCTTGGGATTAAAACCCAGGCAATTTCAAACTGACAATTAAGTCCAGTGACTAGTGGTATAGGTGAACATCTTTACACAGCAAATTAAATATCAGGAGGAAAACGTGAATAATGGTTGGGGCATCAGCTACAGGAGGCTTCATGGGTTTGAGAGAATACTATGAGAAACTGAGCCAACCTGGAAACGTTTCAAATGGGGACAAGCAGGAGTAAGAAACTACTTCTGTTAGCGTCATTCAGTAATGGGGTTTGACGGGAATTCACAATGGCTGCGAGGCCCCCAAATAGTTCAGGGTTCACAGTGTCCCTGGCCAAAAAGCAACTTGTACATTTGGGCAGCAAATTACTGAAAGAAGTCTCAACTAGCGAAGTCTATTGCAGAGTCGGAGAGCGCCTGCGCAAAGCAGGCCTACCAATACGGAGCTGCGTGGGTATCACATAAGGCAAGATCACGTAGGAAACAGGCAAAACGGGCGAAGTGTGGGGGCCAAACGTACAGGAACATCGAAGTATAGTCCTGTGAGCAACTTGAATAAATTACACTGGCCTGAAAAAAAAAAAGCGGACAGGGTGAAAGTAACAAAGTGAGGTGGAGAAGCGCGCTGGGGACCACGCTGGTCCAGGCGATCCCAGTGAAACGTCCGCATATCCACCTTAGGAACTACCGCAGGGTGATAGCCAGGCCTGGAAGAACGCGGCCGGAAGTGTAGCTGCCCCGCTTCCTCTGACATCACCGCGCAGGGCGGGGCGCGATGCGGCTCAATCCCCTCCGCCCGGCTGGCGCGACTTCCGGCGAGCGAGTGACGGGTGCGGCCGAGCAAGCATCTACGGCGGCAGGTGCAGCTGCGGCCTGAGGTGACGCCGGCAGGCCTGAGGCGACAGCATCCTGCGAACCCGGGCAGCCGGAGCGAGCCGCGCTGGCGGCCGCGGTGGCCGCCGCGATGATGGAGATCCAGATGGACGAGAGCGGCGGGGTGGTGGTGTATCAGGATGACTATTGCTCGGGCTCGGTGATGTCGGAGCGCGTGTCGGGCCTGGCGGGCTCTATCTACCGCGAGTTCGAGCGCCTAATCCACTGCTACGATGAGGAGGTGGTAAAGGAGCTCATGCCTCTGGTGGTGAACGTGCTGGAGAACCTGGACTCGGTGCTGAGCGAGAACCAGGAGCACGAGGTGGAGCTGGAGCTGCTGCGCGAGGACAACGAACAGCTGCTCACGCAGTACGAGCGCGAGAAGGCGCTGCGCAAGCAGGCGGAGGAGGTGCGCGGGCCTGGGCTGGGGAACAAACCCGGGGCTGCCCCCTCCTCGCGTGCCCGGGACCTTGGTCGTGCGCCCGCCCTCTCGAAGTTTGATATTCTGTAGGTCGGAGAGCGAGTTGCCCTAGATGATCTCCAAGCCCAGAAATTCAGTTTTTCTGTCAGTGAGCGATGCTCTTCTTTACGATAGGAAGCATCTTCATAAATGAGATTAAATTCCTTTTCAGTGAAGTTGCCCTGAACACAAGCTTAGAGTCTTTGGTATTGAAATTAAAAATTGTTTTGGTGTTTGGCTCTTTCTTAAACTACCGTAGTTGGTGCCCTCGTTTGGTTGAACGTGTGTTTATCTTGAATCATTCCTGCTTACTGTGGTTTGCTTTTGGCTCTTGCGCCTGTGCAGAGGCTGGGTCTATTGAGTTATCTGAGAATTGGGGTGAGGTGAACCTGACCTTTGGGGCAGAAGCCCTGATGGAGTCAGTACAGTGTTGGATGGTAAGCCCTGGGCATCGCTGCTGCAGGTTCGGTGGGCTTAGACCCCACTAGACAGGCTCCATCCTCTCAACGTAAAGAGGCTCAAGAGCTCCCAGAATTTGAG